CTGCCATGTTGATTTGCTTGATTCCTTCTAGAGAGCCATAGTACCATAGATCGTCACTAGGAGGCCAGAAACTGCGCTAGCATCATGTGTAAAGGCTCATAAGGAACCAAACTCGGCACAGATTGGTTTTCAGAGGGTAGTGTAAATGGGGCTATAAATAAACTCAACTTACTTAAAAGAATAAGTAAGTAAGTCCTTAGAAGCCTTTGGAATTTCTTTTATTTTGCAGGACATTTTGGATTTTTCATTCTTAGATTAAACTTTAGCTGTTTGTTCTGCAGTAACATCTTTCCTGCATTAGTCTTTTACAAAAAAAGATAAATGTGTGACACCTAAAGATGATTTTAATTGTGTTCGTGTGTTATGTGCAACCGCAATTCTTCCCCCAAAACTGAATTTTACAGAATGCTTAACCATATTATTTATTTTTTGTGAAACAAACCTTATTAACTAAATACATGAAATTGTCAGAGACCGATATTGGGGATTGTATCCTTTTCCCACAGATTTTGACTTTTGTCATTGCTTGCTGTATCTTTTAAAACCAAAAAAGATTACCATGGAAAAATTAAACAGTGAACATTTTTTTATTGTGATTTGGGTGAAGCTCTAATGAGTAGCTATCCAAACACAGCTGTTGTTTGTCTAGAAATCTTGCTTTGATCCCAATAATCCAAATCTAATGGCAATCTTTCTGACAGTTTGGATGTGATTATACACAGTCAGATAAAATCTGCCTCACTGAAAGACAGACAGAGGGTGTAGCTGTCCATAGTGCCAGTCCAGTTGCCATTGGAAACCCAGCCAATCCAATCAGCGGAGGAATACATGGCAAAGGTTAGAGCGTGTTATTAAAATGATATCTGAGCATCCACCTCCATCATCCGGCTTTGATACAGAGCTACTGATCAGTCACTTATTAATATATGAATGGTCGTTATCATTTACCATCTGGAGGCCTGTAACTTTCTCTCAGGTTGTTAATCTAATGAAAGCGTAACAGAGTACCCATATTGATGCCATACTTATTTACACAAATCCAACCATGCATTAATCTTCAGTAAAAATTATGAACATATTTAGAAATAAAAGCAAAAGAAAACAAAAATAAATTTTAGTTTTTCCTTTAAATTTATTAATTGCCAGGTTTGAGAACAAAAGCAAAAAAAAAAATCAGCTTTGGTTCCACTTTGTTCTCAATTAATGCCAGTTCTGATTCTGAATGAAATGCAGCAGAGTGAAATTTAATTGTTCGGTGAAGACAGAAGGAGAGAGTAAGATTCTAACAGTGAATTTAAATAGCTTGTTGGGTTTTAATTCTAAACACATTATTTGGGGTTCCTGTTACAGGTTAATAGTCAATCAACAGCTTCAAGTCAGGGAGACCCTTCTTTTACAGCTGCATTTCTCCACATCAAATCCACAAAAAACCTCCTTCCTGTCTTAAAAGCCTTCCATTTTGCCTCCACTACAATCTGAGCCGATTCACTGAACCCACCTGGCTCTCCTCAAATATTTAAGTGACACAGAGCACAGAGATGGAAGTGGCTGTGATTGAGACCGCACCTTCAAAGGAAGAAGAGAATGTGTCTCATATTTAATACATGCTCATGTCTCTATCAAAATTGCAGCGGATAATTGCTGTCCAACACAGTGTGTATTTCCTCTCAGTGTCTCTGATAGCTCTGCTCTGATACACATCCTTCTGCATGGATGCCCCCCCTGCTGATATTTCTGCATGACTGTTTTTGGATGTTTGTCTTTACTGATTTATTTGAGCTCCTTTAAAAGGATGCATGCAGAGCTGCTTTACAAAGCTAACCAGGAAATTGCTGCATTTTCTTGGCAAAAAGCATTTTGGAATTGACAGGAATGTATGTTAAAGGAATATTTGTAGTACAAGTTGAAAAGTAGGGAGCTATACATTCTCTGGACATTCTATTATCTCAGTGCACAATTGGAGTCATCGGTGAAAAAGACACAGTCAGTATTTCAATGGTTTGTACAATATTAAGAGGAATATCTCTATTTATCTGATGATAATAGATGGATATCTTATCAGGTGGGTCATATTGTATCTATATACTTCATTCCCTAAAAATTATATTTGCAAGTGCTGTTTAAAAAATGCAGTGCCACACACAAAGTACAAAACTACGAATTTAAGATCATGAAAGAAAACTTCATAGCCAATATTTTAAAACCAACATTTATTTATTTATCCTTTATCTAACCAGGTAATACCCATTGAGATTAAAAATCTCTTTTGCAAGGGAGACCTGGCCAAGATAGGCATCAAAATTACATCACATCATTACATACGTACAAAGACACACACATAAACATCTTTATAAAAACGAAACAATTTTCATCCTCGAGAGACTCATCCAGAGAAAAGCTGCAATTACTAAAATTGTATTCGATTCAATTTATTTATGAAGGTAACCCAGTAAGAGCTCATTGCATGGACTCATTGACTCTGCAATCCATCACACCGAACATGCATGCATAGACAGGAAGAAACCTCCAGTGGAACCAGGCACAGTGTGAGTGACCATATGTCAAGGCCGACTGGATTTCAAGGAAAGAGAAGCAGATATACAGATATTGACCTAAATGGAAAAAGATTTTTGGTGCTCGGGCCCCGGCGGAAGGCTTTGATGCAGAGAATTGACATTCCTTCAGGTGTGTAACCTAGGAAGAGGATAAGAGCAGTCTTCCCCCCCCAAAAAGAGTGCTAGGGCCGAGCTAGAAGACTGGACCCCCAAGCCAGGGAGGGAAGGGAAAGAAATTAGTGTAAATAAAGGAGGGCGTGGCTATGGAGGAGACTTACCTGAAGGGATGATTAGAGCGAGCCCCAAAAGAATGTCTAGTGACTCTTGCAGAGATGCGCAGATGGAGCACTGGGTGGTGAAATGAACTTCTGATGCACTGAGTGGTGAAATGCACTGATGATACGTTGAGTGGGATGAGCGCAGTTAGGGCCCTCAGTTGGAAGAAAATGCACTGAAGAAGTGCCAAAGTAGGAAGGAAATTACAGTAGGAAGGGAATTGCTAAGGATGCGCTGATTGGTGAAATGCGTTGATGTTGCACAGAGTGGTAAGTGTGCTGATGATGCTGAGTAGTAGGAGGCACTGATGATGCGCAAAGTAGTGAAAAGCTTTTTTTTTTTCTTGAATAAGATATTTCCATAAATGAACAAATCTGACAGCATGGGAAGTCAAGCATTGTGTGGCATCACAAGGGCGATAATAGGCGGATTTACATTTCTGGGGAATGTGAGCTCACTTATGCACAGGTGAACAACTTGGGTTTATGTGGCTTATTTACAGAATTTAAAAACATTTAAGGAATCTGATGTGTAACATTTGTAAAAGTAGTGGGAGCAATAAGTGGGTATCAACGTACGCTCCTCTTGATATGGAAGACTGAACCAGATTGAACTTTCTTTTCAGCTTCATTTTCAGAAAGAGTTGTTGGTAAGTTTGAAGTGGAAATAAAAAAGTTAACCAAAGTAATTTAATTCATGAGATTGTGTCTTACTATTATCAATACTTATATTACAAATGTGAAAAAAAGAAGCATTGTTTCCCGGTCAGTAAAGCCCAGCTTATGAGCAGTGAAATTAAAAAGACTCAGAACAGCTTCAGGCTTTAGCTGGCTGTACCATGGACTGTTACCTACCAGACTCAAAAGCCCTCTGGTTTAGATCATCTCCACAACCGGTGCTTTGCCAGGTAGCAGGGATAGTCAGAACCCATTCTCCAAAACTACAGTACCTCTTCTCTCCTTACTACGGCTCAAGTCACTCCCAAAATGGGCTCCAAAGCAGCTTTTTCTTCCATCATACCAAATGTCTTAATTGTTTTACTGTATGGTTGTGATGTATAGCTGGTTTTATCAATTTATTTAACTGCCAAGTGAAGCGTCAACCAACCCTGTGACATCACCGCTTTAAGTACAGCAACACGGTAGCGTCCTTGCAAACAAATTATAAAAAAATGCTTCATTTTTTTCTTTTACATTTATATTTTCCACGTTTGTAATATACGTATTGATGATAGTAAGACACAATCTCATGAATTTAGTTTTTTCTGTTAACTGTTTCATTTCCACTTTAAATAGGATTTAGTCTCCAAAGCTGACTGCTGTAAGCTAAAGGGAGTCTTCTTTTGGAAAAAAAAGTTACTTCCTGCTTTGGAGTAATAAGAGGAAACAGAGCAAAGTGGAGAAGCTTCCTCTCAGACGAAGGAGACGATTTCCTTGGTGTTGATGTTAACCTGGGATGGCACTCGCCTCCGGCAACAGCTGGATCAGACACTGACAGATGTAGCTGGAGACACCCAGGTGTCATTCTATGTCAAGCTGTGATCTCACAAAAAGCTCAGTCTGACAGCAAAACTGGTCAGGAAGGACATTATTGATCAAAATCTGTTGCTTCTTTTAATTTTAAGGAACTTTCTAGAATCATGTGAACCATCCATATGTAGAAGGTTTTTGCAGTCCAGTAAACACCTGAACTATAATGAAACTCTTAGACTAAACACTTAGATGGTCTTCCATATTCTTTATGCTGCTGCATTCTAACCCTAGCTAATATAAGGAAATAAAGAGTTAATACTTTATTCATTTAGTCAAATCCTTCTGCTGGAGCTGTATACAATATGTTTCTAATTATTTTATTTGTATTATTTATGAACAAAATATCAATACTGTTTTATTAAGTGCCCTCAAAATATCTACTCCATGACTTCATAAATGTATAGAACATTTCAAACTACTGTTGCGAAATTTTGGGAAAACTCAAAAATTCAAAAAAAAATCCTAAAATATCAAATTGAAGGGGATCTAGCACATTTTTAAGGTTTCTTGCCATTTTACGTTTAGCTTTAGATTATTAATTTTTTTTCAAATGTTTCATGATCCAAGTGTTTTTCTGTCATTCCTTTAGAAAATATGCCTCAGTAAAATGTGATTTTCTGCTCTGCTCTTCTTTCAGGAATACACAGTGGATGTCTTCTTCCGTCAGAGCTGGTTAGACGAGAGGCTGAAGTTTCATGGACCAATGAACACCCTTCCGCTCAACAACTTGATGGCCAGTAAGATTTGGACCCCTGACACCTTCTTTCATAATGGCAAAAAGTCTGTGGCACACAACATGACCATGCCCAACAAGCTTCTGAGGATCATGGAGAACGGAACGCTTCTTTACACCATGAGGTAGCGGACTTTGCTTGTAATTTTAAATGTATGGGTGTGGTTTCAAGAAGGAGTTTACTATAGTGGTTTTTTTTAGCGTTGGTGTTGAGCTACTACTTAATCGATTTCAGCCCCTTAATCCATAAGGCTTATGTCTGTTCTTTGTGTTATTTTTCTTTTTTAATGCATTAAATGTTCTAAAAAACAGTTTTTAAGAAGTATCTATTGTCAGAAATGAAATGCAGTTTTATAAAAATATCTTTATTTTATTTTAAAATTGTTGTAAAGATTTGCAAGGTTGTTTGAGGCATATGGATTGGTATAGGTTTGGGTAAGATCATTTTTCTTTTGAATTTGTTAATTTTCTTTATTTTGTACCTACAATAGTAGCCATTCAAAATGTCTACACTTTCCTTGATGGGTCCTTGGCTGGTCCCCAACAATTCCTTTTTAAACTTCAATCTTTGTACTAAAATATTCTTTCTGTCATGATTTTTGGACATTAAGCTCTAAAGAGAAGCACCTTCTCCTTGTCAGATCCTGTAATTCAGTCAAGGGGTGGGATCAGAGAAAAGAAATATGCACGCCCAGGAGAAGGAGGGGTTACTCCAGTGGCTGGAAGTTGGAGGGGATTACGCTGAGAGTTGCAAGGGAAGTAGGCTTCCATTTGGCTGGCGTTTGACTGGGAAGGGCCATTTTGAATCGCTGCGACTGTAGTGATAATAAATTGCATGATATCACTACATGTAAATCAGTATTTGACTGGAGTATTTCAGTGCCTTGTTTTTTTTTTTTTTTTGCCATTCTGTTACAAAATTACTGCTGGACTGATGATCATTGTCTTGTAACAGGACTTGGCATTTGACTGAAGTACTGTAGTATAAAGAACAGTATAATCTTTCCAAAGAAAACCATTTCTGAATATGTTCACTTATTTGCTACTTTGCAAGCATTTTGGCACATTTTCCATCAGAGATTTTCTCTTTCAAACATTTCAAAAGCCATAACGTTAGTCATTTTTTACTTTCCCCTTCATGACCATTTTTGGTCCCCTTCATGACCCATTTACCAGTGTTTTAACTAGTTACATTTACTCAGAATTTATTTATGTAAACTTAAAAGAACAGGACTTTAAGAAGTTTTTAAACTGCAACGTCATTTTCACTTTTACTTGAGTGATATTACAATGAACTGCCTGCATAGTGGAGCCGTTGGTAGTGCTGTTGCATTGCAGCAAGAAGATCTTAGGTTGGAGCCCCAGAGTGGAATCGTTTCAGCGTTTTCATGTTGTTTGTGTGAATTTGTGGGTTTTGTGCTTACACTCCGTCTCCCACAAAATGTTATGAAAAATAATGTTATGAAGTAACAACACTCCAACTTTAGTACAGTTTTCCCTATTTTTTGAATTGTGAGAAAATTCAGTGAATACTGAACAAGATTTTTCAAAACAAAAATGCACCAAACACAGTTTATGTGGCTTGGGTGGTCAAGCGTGTAAGAAAATTTGCCTTGTCCTTAGTAGTCTGGCAGCTGTTTATATCTTTTTCATGTGTGAATAGCAATTATATTTATAGAATTCATAGTTTGAAAATAGCCCATTAACTTATCTAAGATTTATTATGAAGATAATGGATTTTGAAGTTGTTGATATTTTTCCGTTCCGGCATTTTCTAACATCCTAATTCATGATTTTATAGAGGTGTTTACATGATTATCAGATATTCACTGTTTTATCAGTAGCATGTTCTCTTTCCTATGCCAGCAACAAGCGTGGAATTAGCTTTTTATCAGATTTTTTACACTGGTGTTGTCACAGTTAGGTTGAGGTTTTGTGGACCCAAATGCAGAGGCAGGTAGGTAGAGATGAGTTTCTTAAAGATTTAATTGAATGTTCACAATAAAAATGAGGCAGGAATCCAAAAATTCAAAATGAAAATGTAAAACAAACCAGAACAATGGAGACATCAGGGAAAACAAGCATGAGGAACTGCACAGGGAGAGTATTTATGGCTGACTGAACAAAGGCAGGACTAACGAGCTGATTGGGAGCAGGTGTAAACAGAGGTTTCTAGAAAGGAGCTAGGGAAAATTAAACCAACTCAAGAGGGCAACAAAGAAAAACCTAAGAACTCAAATATATCCAGAAAACACAACAAAATAGGAATTAAACCATAAAACTATAAAACATGGAGCAAAGTAAAAATGAATAGTCAAAAGAAAACTTAACAGAAACAAGACCGTGACAGGTGTATTTTTTAGATAAATGAAGGCATCCATCATCTGTATCATCTGTCTTGTATCTGAGGTTGGATTCGTTGTGGTTGCAGACCTGTGAAAGAAAGGACTATTTTTAGGATTTTTGTAATTCATATAGAATTTTAATTAAAACAAGGGAAGCTTAAATTTTATTAAGAATGTTTTCCTGAACCACAGATTTGAATATAAAAAGGATATTTAAATGCAGGATCTTACCCAATGATCTAGCAGACAGAAACCTAAGTATGGGTTGCTGGCTCAGACAGACAGCATCTGTTTGCCAAAGGCATCTACTGACCTTAAAGGTGGCAGCATATCTGAGGTTTTTTTGTAAGTCATATGGGGATAATTTAAGGACTATACTCTTCTATCTACACTTTAGGTGGATTCTACCTGCTTTGCTTTCAGTCCAAGTACTGATATCTATCTAAAAATTGACCTTTTTTTGACCCACATCCAGAATAAAATGGAATGGAAAACCAGTGAGTTTTAACATTATCTTTATGAAGCTACAAGAATATGGAAGCAGAGAACTGCAGGAAGTCAGTTGAACTTCCTGGCTGGTCTAAGGGGAGAAAGCAGACTTGGTTGATGACAAGTGATGACTGATTGATTTGCTTACTTGAGAGATATGGAATGAGAGAGCTGGAATATCGTCAGCGATAATCACCTGGCAAAAAGAAAGATGATCCTTGGCCTTCTGATATACACGCTAGTCATCTTCATCAAGAAATCTTCTGAAGTGTGCGGCAACACGGGTCGGCTCAGCCTCTAACAGAGGTTCCCCTGTGTCAAAGGAATCTCACACCAGAAAAACAGCAAAACCACAGAGATCCTAACACAAAAGGCTCAGACATGTCAGGGGCTCCACCATGACAATATATTGTTTAAATAGTCATCAACTGGGATTTATACATTCAATCCTTCTGAAACTGTCTTCACATTAATTTTAATGGAGTTTTGGGATAAAAATAATTTAAATAGAGCTCATTTGGAGGTAGGCATGAAAATGTGACTCATCTGTTGTTGGTGTAGTGTTAGCAACATCAGCTGTTTGCCTTCGTTTGTTTACTATCGCTTTTCCAATTGTTTACATTAGGTAAAAAGTTACACAGGCAGCAACATGATTTTTGGATTCAACCCTTTTCCGTGGAATAAAAATGGTAGTGGTGATAGCAAGTGTGGCTTAAGCACCCTTCCAGAAATTATGTAAATTAAGGAAGGAGGCTCAAAATTGCACTCTTTAAAGAGAGTGCTCTTGACAGCTTCCCCCGTGACACACAAAAGAAAACAATCCACCTATACACTCTGAATTATCCAGCAGGTTTTAACTGAGGCTCCACACCAACATGCAGATTGTAAAATGAAATTTATGGGTGATGACACCTTTAAAAATCAAACTATTTTGGACTTATGCCTAGTCTTCTTTCTTGGCATACCATACCATACCATACCATACCATACCATACCATACCATACCATACCATACCATACCATACCATACCATACCATACCATACCATACCATAC